AGTGGTTTACAGCTGTTAATATGTTGCTTTTAATATATGTGGAAAGCAAGTCATAGAAAATATTAATTGATTTAGTATCCCACTAAGAGCTAAAAGTTCCTCTAGGACTGAAGTGAAGCTTATTAACCAGGCAGTACATACAAAATGTTTTTGACAGCTAAGAAATGTAGACATAAATCTCAATTTAAGATGGGACTTTATGGACTGAATATTGTGTAACAACCTCATAAATAGGTCTTCAAAAGCTGTAAAGGCATCTAATAATCTTTGATACTGATATCAATCTTAGGCCACAAATTCACAATAATTTTTAAGGGAGTCTCCATATAGTAGAATACATTTTCTCTGCGATAAACACAAAGTATAAGGAAGATACACTTAATTTCCATTTTCCTTTCTGGAAAAATATTTGTCAGACATAAAGTCTTCATTCACTAGCTCTCTAAAGAAATCCAAGACACAATTTTCATTTTTTTAGACAAGTAAGGGAAAACTTAAGCCCTAGTTTGTAGTGAGAAGTTAATTATAAGAATAACCAATTAGGACTAGGTTTGAAACTGTCACAATGAAAGTATACTTGAAATTAAGGATAGGCTAGAGAAAGTAAAATGAATGAGAAATTCTGAGTGTCCTTAGAGAAACAAACAAAATGATATTCAGTAAAAACAGATGATATCTGACTGCTTGAAAATAGAGTGCTGTCAAACGTAATCAAGATTTGAACAATGAGTTTCTTAGTGTTATTCTTAACTTTTTATTGTATTACTTAATGGGAGAACAGAATCCTTATAACAGAATAGGAAATTATCAATTGTAACACTAAATGCAGCTTTATGACATATCTGTTAAATTATCTAATTTATGACCCCAAACAAATTCAATGCAGTGTCACACAAAGCTGTCTATAGTGCTCATGGTTACCATGAACATAAATTGCCATTTTACTACTTTTTTTAGTTAACTCAATACATTGAAAACCTATTTACAATTTACAAACATATGCAGAATGCATAATTTTTAAAAAGATGATCATCAAGATCACCAAGGCTTTCTGTATTTAGTTTGTTCCAAGGAAAGTAAATGCTCATCTTTTAACAGAAAGTAATTAGTTACTGGGAGCGCTGATAATCAGGTTTTGGCAGCTGTGAAGTTTCTATCATTCCACAAAATCTCTCCAACTTCCAGAAGGCTAGCAGAGCTATACATTCCTAAAAATGATTTAGTTTGCTATGGCACTGTCACTTGCAAACCAAGCACTTTTTTCACATTCCCAGTGGGACTGTTAGGCAATCTACCAAAGGAAATGGCAGATTAATTTAGGCATAACTAAAACCAGAAAATCTTAGTCAAAGACATGAAAATAATCCAGATGTAATGATTGATCTGTTATTAATCTAGAAATTTCTTTGTGATTTAATATTGCAAGTGTGTATAGGAATCAGATTCCATGCTTAGCCTGGTACATGTCGGCACTTTCCTTTATTTCACTTTCAAATTTTTCACTGTCAAAAATCTTGCATGGTGTTCTAGCATCCATTTCTCAGCAGTAATATATAGTGAATGATATTCACAGATTTGTTGTCAACAAGCAAGATTGGGGTTTTTCAGTAAAGGAAGGGTTTTCACTTAAAAAAACCTCCACTAATGTAAGTAATTTCATTGACAGTCAGATTTCATTCATTAGTCAGATTCATGAAGACCAATGTTCTTCTGTAGTTTAAAAACTAGAGGTATGTCTTATAAACCTCAGAAAACTGAATAGAATGCTCAAAAGCATTGCACTGATATTAAGCTTTGCAATTAAAGCAACTGAGCATGTTTCGCCCCAAAAAGCAGCAACACATGTATGTATGCATGCACATGCACAAAAATTGCTATCTATCAATCTCCAGCAAATTGTCAGCAAATTTTTACTTTCTGTTGTGTTATTCCTGCTGACATCACCCATAAAGTACAAAGATTACATTTCTTAGCAAAACAATTAGCCAAATCTAGACTTCCTCCATTTTGCAGAAATAACAAGCTAGAAGCCTTCTTAATGAGCAAGCAGCAAACAGAGAATTAAAATCTGAAGGAACTCAAATATGAGAGATAGATGTTAATTTGTTCCTGCATATGTTCATCTATGAAGGAAATTCCATCTACAGATGCACCAGCTTTTAACTAGAACTTGGGATTTAATAGACTACTTGAAATCTTTTCTAAAACATGAAAGAAAGCGTACTAGATTTCCTGCATTATTCCAAATCTGAGATGTTAAATTTATAGGAAATTTTAAATTCGCTATCTATGTTTAGTTATATAGACACACATTCTGAGTTTTGCTGGATCTTAGAGGTCCTCAATTCATTGCTCTGAAAGCTAAACCCTGTAAACTGCAACACAAATATTTCTTATTCTTCTACTAATGAACTCAGACTGAAATGAACATTTCTTTCCTACATATTTCTTTCCTACATAACACCAATCCTACATAACCAGGCAATGTTCTTAAGTTACTGTTTTGAAGGGTGATCTTCTTTATAAAAGTGCATTGCTTTCTGGCATCAGAACTCCTGAGCATCAGGACAAACATTTGTTGCACTTGGAAGATCCTGTACTTCAAGACCTGGCAGCTTTGGTGGACTCCTTTGTTTACCTGTTAGAGCTGCCTCCCATGATCCCAACAGTTCCCTGACTAAGCCACTGTCCTGCTTTCCTTAGGTTCAGGGTCTGTACTCTGCTGCTCATCTCTCCGACTTCCTTCAGGACCACCAACACTGCTATTTCAAAGTTACCACAGACAAGGAAATTATTCATCATCACAACCCTGACTAGTTTCCTTCATATTAGTCAAGAGTAGATCCAGCTATGCATCACCACTGATTGATCCTTTTAATACCTTCCACAAGAATTTATTTTGAAATCCTCCAGAAGTCTCTTTGATTGCAACAGCCATGTTGCCTTTCTAGCAGCTGTACATTCAGTCACCCATGAGAACTGGGGTCTACAACTCAGAGTTTTAGGTTTTTAAATACTTTATTTGATTCCCAATCAAGGGGTCTGTAATGAACTCCTACCATAATGACACCATTATTAGCTTTTCCTCTGATTGTAAGTCACAAGTCTGATTAACTCCCATCCTCCTGGAGACTTTAAAAGATCTGAGCTGCTTATAGATCCCTTATATTCCACCCCCTCAGCCCTTCCTTGCCAGTGTTTCTGGAAGTTCTTCATAGTACTCCAGCTGCATGAACTTCGCACAGTATTTGAATTGTTCCAATAATGTTACAGTCCTATAACCACATACAGCTCTAATTTTCCCTGTTTTTTCCCCAGGATGTGTGCATTTCTTTACCAATGCTTGAGACAGGTGTCCCTGTACACTGGTTTATAATTTCTGAAGTCTTTCTTGCTCTTATTAACCTGTGTCCCGTACTTTCCACATGACCACCAGTTCTTCATTTAACTATGGTCTGTAATCTCTCATTGCCTGCTTTCCTAGTTCAAAGCTATCCTCATTAGGTTAATAGCTTGTAGGATTAAGGAGACAACACCCAGGTCCCCATGACTTCAACTCCAGAGCTATGTGATAATTCCCAGTATGCCCCCAGCTGATGCCCATGTGGATGGGTAGTAGTGAAGTAGTCTAAGGATCAGACAGACATCAGCAATCTGTCTGCAGTGGTCTGAATCCTAGACCACAGCCAGCCACATAGCCCTCAAAAAGGCAAGCTGGGGGCACAGGGGTTTCTCTTCCCATAACAGCCAAGCCTCCTGCTACTGCCAATTACTGCTTCCTCCTGATGTTAACACATGGTTTGGGTTAAAGCTGGCTCTGATGCCTCACCAGTCATGGCTGTCTTCTACTTTTCTACCAAGCGTTTAAACCTTTTGAACTGATCTGGAAAAAGAGCCCTCCTCCAGTTGCTAGAAAACATAAATTTCCAACCCTCCTACTATGGGCCTCTATTTACCTTGAGACTCGCAGTTTCTGGCTGCCCCTCCTCTGTGGTTCAGACTTTTTTACCTCTGGGAACCCTGTGATGATCCTGTTAATCTCCTCTTTGCTTTCCTTGAACCTGCCCAGCCTGCTCACTTCTTCCTCCAGCTTAAAAGGAACAACACATTTCCTTAGCCAGCATCCACCTCTCAGGCAGGGATACTTGGTTCTCTTGCCTCAGCTTCCTGAAGGTATCAGGCACTGCCTCCAACTCAAGGCCTGGGGACCTGCATCCTCTCTCAGCGGGTCTGAGCTGAGATCTCTGCTGTGCCAACAGCAGTTCTCCCAGCTGGCACTGTGGACCATGCCCCAGGCTGTGCTGCTACAGCTGCTGCTGTGTCTCCTGCTGCCATCAGTGTGTTCCCAGCTCCCTCCCACATGCAAACTGTTGGAGAAACCAGCAGTCCCCACAGATATGGGACGTGTTCTGGGCTTGCCAGCTGCACCTGAAATGGGACTCGGCTCTCCCTAGGCAGGAGTTACCTCTCTTGGCCACAGCCTAGATCTCAGGGTGTCCCCACCATCTCTGAGGATGCTGCCTCCCCTCCTTGCCAGGTTGATACCCCCACCATGCCCACTCAGTACCCCAGGGGCTATGTCTTCAGGGTTCCTGAACATCCCCTTGCCTCACCTGGGCCCCTTGTCCCTGAACACAAGCTTAGCTGGCCCCTGGTCATGGCTTGCTGTACATCAGGGCCACCAGCCTTGTCACACATGGGGATGGGGCACCAGAGCCTGCATTCTCCGGCTGGTCCCTTCCTGTAAGACTGTGGAGCCACCCCAGAGCCACTCTCACAGTTCCCCACACCAGCGCTGCCATGGCAGCACCCAGGGCTTGGCTTCACACACCATCATCAGGTCCCTCCCCAGCAGACTACACAGAAAAATTATTGATAAATGCTGGATTTATCACATTCATAAACCCTGGATACAATTTTACTCTTAGTTATAACACAGAAAATCAGAAGTCTAAATTCTCTTTCTTATTCCATATGATAATGATGTTGTACCAACATACCTGTTTCAGGTTTTCTAGTTTGCTGTGCCTCAGTTCTTCATATTTCCATTTATAAAGAAATAATTCATTTTCCATCTTTTCCATTTCTTTTTCCAGAAATGCATTCATTCTGAAAAAGTATTTTAAAGTTCAGCATTGCACCATTTTTAATCTGACAAAAGACAAATTACTTTGAATATCCTTTCCACAGATTGAGTTATATTTTGCTGCCTTTATCAATGATATATCTTGCTTTTATTAAAAACCTATATTATGATTACATAATTATTCCAAGAGATTGACCAAAAATAATAGCTACAGAGAAAAAAAGAAATCCAGTGGTGCAGAATTAATATTTTAATAAAATAAAATTTTGGGATAAACTGAAGAAAATTTGAACTTTCACTTCAGTTAGTGATTCAGGTCACCTAATTTATGGCAACGTAGTGAAGATCCTCAGAGAAAGGGTATTACATCACTTTTATTTGGTGTAGACAGAAGATTAGTTTAAACATACATATAAAGGAGAAAATATACAGTATGAAGACAGAACAGAAACCAAAGATGATCAACCTTGGACGTTAAAAAAAAATTTTAAAATATGTATATTTCCTGTTTTAATAAATAGTTGTTCTTGAAAGATGATGCTAGAAGAACTTTAGGAAAATAGAATATTTAGCTCAGAAGTAATAAACCTGTAGAATGAAAATAATATTGAAACACTTTAAACAAAAATTCCAGTACTGGCAATTAAAGAAACTGTTGTGCCAGATTGTAGTTATTTTCTATTCTGAGGCTAATGGAATTTGTCAGCCTTTTTACTAAAGATGTTTTTGCCAGGCTAGAGTAGAACTATATTCTGGGAACATTTGGTCTAAAATTCATCTATTAAAGCAAAGTGTATGGGATTTGTCTGGGGTATTTCTGTGCAGCACAATGCAGGCTTGTACAGACATATCAAGAGTTACCACTGACTGGACTGGCTCATGTCCTGGAAGCAACGTTAGCTACATTAATGAAGCAATCCACTTCAGTGAAATATCTTCTTGTTTTTGAACTGGGGATCATCTTTTTCTGCCTAGATTTAGCATATCACACATCTTCTCTTAGCAAACACTTAGAGCTACCATAAACATTACAGTAATAAAATAAACACCATCATTCACAAAGCAAAGTGGAGCAAGATGTATTTCATTCAATTCAACTCAACGTATTTTCTTCTAAAGTAATGGAATATCTCATTGGAATGATATGACTTCATTGGGGAACGAAAAGAATAAGTGGGACATTTAATACAGTAGAAAGGGCTTAATACTTTGACTTTATTGAATGTAGTGAAAGTCCTTAGAAACGGTCTAATCTGAAAAGTAAAAGAGGAATGTCCAGCATGAGATGCTTATTTAGAGGACAATAGCTTTATTTTATGTTACACTACCTCTTAAGTGAGATCAGGTCCTTCTGACACTGCTAAATGAAACAGCTGGTACTGACTACATAAAGTCTACTATTTAATAAAGAAAGCAAAGAGTGGAAGAAAGGCTATAGCAGAGATCAGTGAAGCAGCATATTACTAGTTAAAAAGACCAAGGTGGGAGCATTTTAATGGCTCTTTTAACCAGCTATTTTAACTCCTTATTATGTAATTAAATAACACAATTACACAGAATAGTTGAGGTTGAAAGAGACCTGTGGAGATCATCTAGACCAAAACCCCTACTCAAGAAGGGTTGCCTAGAGCTGGTTTCAGATCCATTTCAGATGGCTTTTGAACCTCTCCAAGGATGCAGACACAGCAACCTCTCTTGGAAACCTGTGCCAGTGCTCAATCACCTCACAGAAAAAAAAAAAAAAAAGAGAAAGACGCATTTCTTGATGTTCAGACAGAGCCTTCTGTATCCACTGTCTAAGTCTACCGATCCAGCTCTAAGAAATTCCTCTTTGATATTATTAACTATGAGTGTAGTTTGTGAACTTTTGGTTTTAGAGGAAAAACATTTTTAAGTTCAAAATGAAATAAATTACAGTCTTAAAACTAGAAGACATTTAGATGAGATCACTGATCCAAAAGATGACCAAAGATAACTAGATGAGATCACTGATCCAAAAGATGACCAAAGATAACTATTTTAGGCAAATTATTATTTAATGTGTTGAACAACTCATAAGGTTTTTAATTTTCACTTATGTCAGTGGGACCTAAAATACGTATTTGATATGAGCTATTAGTGCTGAGCAGAGGACGTTGGTGTGTGATTTCATATTGCAAACCAAATCCTGACATTTTTTGAAAGTCAAAATATAAACTTTCACCCCTTAATTTTATTTTTTTTTCTTTTTATAGATCTTCTTTCTTTTTGTATTTTGCAAAGCCTTATCTGTGTGAGTAACAGTATATCAGCATTACTGATGATAGCTCTAAACAGAATGCAATAGCCATAGGTCCTCTCGGGGTGAAGACACAAAACATCTTATAGGAAGATTAGGTAGGTAACTAGGGGCAAGTCCAAACACTGGATATGCTTAAGCTGACTTGACTCTGGAAAAAAATGCAGCCACAGTTCAGAGTACTGCATGTAAACCAGAAAACTCTGCTGGGAAGTCCTCTGGTCTATGAGTAATATCATACTGACTGCCAAAGTAACCTTTGGCCTAGGGGTTCAAGCTGCCTGTGATCTGCTTGCTTTAGATGAAGCACAGCTGTGTGTGTCCTTGGCTCAAGTTCACCGAGAAAATTGCGAAGTTTTGAAGGAAAAGCCGTGAGAAAGTACTAAGCTAGAGCCATGCAAGATAAGAGAAGTAAAAAATGCAGAGGTGAGATTGTTAAGATAGACATTATTAACAACTCCAGAATCCAGGAGCAAAATTACTGTTATGAACAAGAATAAAACCTAAGAGGGAAAGCTGGGAATTTGAAGATGGAAACTCAGCAAAATCAGTCAATTTTACTAAGCAGCAGAGACCAACCCTTTCAGCAGATGACAGCTTGCCCAATGAAGATTCACCAGCTATCTCTAGAGGTCAGTGGCTATGGTAACATTTTTCCTAGTAACATTATTCCTAGCTATTCACTGTGTGCATTGTCAAATAAAATTGCTTCATACTGTGAAGTCACATATATTCTGCTAATATAACATCTTTACAAAGAGGAAATGCTGCCCAAACTGACCTAGAGATGGAGTTGTTATATCAATGCCTGCTGTTATGTGGAAATCACTGCTCTGTGAGCATTTGCTGCCTGAGGTTGGCACAGCCACATATTACATGTTCTAGATATGCCTCAATTCTTACCCTGTGCCAGTAAATTTATTTCTTTATACCAGTCAGAATACATTCAGGCATAAATGGCAAATCTGTCTCTCTGAAATGCAGTTACAAATCAGCTAGAGAAGCATGTGAACAAACAAACCAAAACCAGAACCAGCAGGCAGAACCACAGTTTATAAAAGTTTTGCCTAAAAAGTGATTAAAAACAAGAGTTGAAAAATTATCACGTTTCTAAAAGAAAATTATTATACATACATATTCATGTATGTATCCTTGATTGCCATTGAAAGATGAAATACCTAGGACCCTTAATATTTCTATCAGAGAAAAATAGGTATGTGAGGCATCAGTTCCTTAACTCACACACACACACACATATATATATATATATATAACTTCCACAAAAAACCTAAATGCTTTTTAAGGAAAGAGAACATACTTCTGGTCATCTTCTGCCATATGATTCACGTAAATAATTATTGTATACTTTCTAAGCTATCTATTTTCTATAACAAAACACATTAAATACTAGCTGGAAATTTAAAGGATTTTTTTTTTTTTTTTTTTTTTTACTCAGGCTTGTGCTATCTACAGAACAATTGTGAAACAAACTGACAGGAACAAAATTCTTTGAAACAGTTTACCATTACACTCTATGAACTGAGACTGTTTAATATATTTGCAACAAACGGGAGTTTTCTTCATTTCAATTTTCAGATTAACTTCAACTGACTTTGAAATTACAATCACATAGTCACTATGCTGAATTCTCTCTCTAAATTCTTATCACAGCCTTGTAAATAGCAATGGTTAAAGGTTAGAAATGAGAACATATGAGCTATAAATGTAGAAATCACCATATCTATATTAGAAAGTGTCTTAAACCCCTTTATTTTTAATAGAGATTTCTCCAAGTAGGATATATTTTGTACTTACTCTCTTTCCTTCTGTAAGATTTTCTTAATCTCAGCCAAATGCAAATGTAAGACTGAAACATGTATTAAGTCATTCTCAGTTGTCTTAGCTGTGGTGTCCAAACTTTTTCTAGGTTCCTCCAAACAGGTACTGGGAAGTCCATCGGGGAAGAAACTAAGGTGCTTTGGAATGATTTTTTTATTGTAATTGCTTTGGTCTTTGTTTGCCTCTACATCCTGATAAAACAAAAATATGACATCTGAGAAAAACATAAATGAAGGGGAAAGTCTAAGACAATTCCTGCAGGGCCTACCAAGGCTTTTCCAGACAGTTAAGTCACATAGGAGAAAAAAGTTGAATCACTGCAATTTTGTGACTTCTCACACCTTCATATCCAAAAACATTTCTAATGTGTCTTTACTAAAGAAATACATTCCATTTATCATTTGTTGGATATAACTATGGTGAAGATGGAATCCTGGAACTAATAAAACCCAGAATGCAAGTTATGCATATAAACAATATATTAAGAAACTTTATGTACTCTTAAACTTTTAATGTAAATTGTGTTGAAGCAGATGATAGGATTATACAAGTTTTTCATAGGGAGCAAAGTATATAAATATCTATTTTGAAGATACGTGTTTTGCATAAAAAATGAGCAAAACTAATAGCAACTACGAAAAATAATTTAAAAAAAATACGTAATTGTTATGAAGACTGAATGTCCCTTATAAACAAGTTTCCTTTATAAATGTAATTGTTTTACCACTTCTGATGAATGGTGTTTAAAAGCTAAGGTCATTTTAGCATATTACCAACAGTTCTATTTCACACTACTCTGTTCTTTTGAGTTTTTAGAATAATGACCAAAATTTACATCAGAAAATACTAGAAACCACCGTTTCCCATTCACATATAATGTTTCAGTTTTTAAGTAGATATTACTTTACACTAAAGAGAAATAGTTAAAATATATTTAGTGTTATTTCCTTCATGTGGCATATTTGTCTACATAAAAATATGAAAGGCAAGCATTTTTTTTCAAAATTTATTAGCCATACTAACACTATATTTTTTTTCAGATTTCACAGGAATTTAATATCTTTTATATGCATTATTGAGTGAATAAAAATTCTGAACAGAACACATTCAGATCTAAAATCCCAGCAATTTCCCTTGGAGTAAAAAATTTCCTGTGTCCTACAATCTAGGCAAAACCATTTTTATGCAATATGAAAAAATTATCTATATCTACAACTGCTGTCTATTAGACGACAAATACAGTTTTGACATGATGCTGTCTATGGAGAATATACAATGCATACCAAGACACAGAATTAAAGGTGTTGAAATCTAGTTTGGTTTTTGTTGGAGGGGAAAAAAAAAAGTGAGTACACAGATCATGATGAATACAGACAACAGAGCTAATCTGTTACTATAAAATATAAGAGTCAGAGCAATACTGTAAGTTATTGGATAGAATAGTCTGCCTCTGTTACTTAAATGTTTAGTCAGAGTGCGTGGGTATGTACTGTTTTCTGTATTTCTCTGTATTAGGAATATTTAGATTGGTGAAGAAAAATGGTTTTGTAAGTGAATGGATGAGGCAGCATTTTGGTCAAAATGCTTAAAAAATCCCATATTCTGCTGCTTCTTCATGACCAAAAAAAGATTCCCCATTCTTTACCTTCTTTGTGTCTTCTGCCAGAGGAATTTTGATGATTTTGCTCAGTTCTTTCACAGGTTCTGGCTCCAGAAATGTTAACAGGTTTCCATCTTTTTTACCATAATATATTTCTGAGCAACTGCATTCTGTTTTCCAACCAGTTCCATTTTCTAAGTTTTCCTTCTCACTTATTAAATTTTGATTTATTTTTTTAAGCATACTTATTTCTTTTATCGCACTGTCTAATTTGATTCTCAATTGTCTTGCTTCCTCTCGGGCTTTATTTCTTTCTCCTCTAACTTTGCTCCATTTCTCCCGCCAGTTAGCAGTACAATCTGACCACCAGCGCATGGTCTTCTCCATTTGGGCAGCTCTGGCTTTGACTTCTTCCAATTCCTGAATTTTTACTGCTTCAAAAATTTCCCAATCACTGCTGTAATTCATATGCATATATGTATAATGAGATGAATATGGGTAGAAACTTTGAGATGGCAGGTTTAAATTACATAGATGGTCACCTGCTTGGCAACCTCCACCTAATTTATAAGGTTGTCTTGGTTGGATCCCAGAAATGTGTGTCTCTTCCATTTGTTTCTGAATGGAGCCTAAGTTCATGTTTTGATTCATCATCTAATTTCACTCCTAAAAAAGACAAAGACAGACAATAATTTAGCTTTACTCATATTATATGAATAACCTCCAGCAGTAGCGTTTTCTTACTGCTATAATAATGGGTTAATTTTAATAATGCTTTAATTTTAATAATGCTCTTCATGTTTTAGAAATGTGCTTAATCAACAAGAAACAGTTATTAAAGTATCTTTCATGTAATACTTTTCTAGTACAGCACAGACATACATATTACTTGGCTAGGAGTTGCTAGCAAAGGAAGTGTCATTGAATAATCATAGTGCTGTCAAAAATTTTTGAAAGAAAGAAACCAGACAAAAGCTTTCTTCCTTCAAGACAAGATTAAATTAAATCAATATACATTTTAAATATCTAGTACAAGGAAATTGTCTAGAACTACAATCAAAATTCATTTGCTTTCTTCCCCAAACTGTGGAATTTTATACTAGGAAAACTTACCTTGTAATTTGCATACCTAAGGAAAAATGTGATCAACCCCCCCCAAACTCTGGATTTTCTTTGTTTCATGAGAAAAATCAAGCATTTTTACAGGGGGCTTTATTTTGTTGTCTACATTCCAGAAGACGTTCAGGCAGTATATTCTTACAATATTCTTGAAAGTGTAGCACTATCCTACCATACTGTACAGCTTACCTCGTGATGACATGACTCTGCTAGTAAATCTTATTACTTTCCTATTCATTATCTATCTTTTAATTTTTTATTACTCATTTGGCCAGAGGAAAAACAGTATCTCAGAAATTGCTTTCCCTCTCCTATGCTGAGAAAATGCTGATGTGGACAGTCTGTAGAGACTAGTCACTTATACCTCCTTGGTTTTTTCCCTCTTATTTATCTTAAAACAAAAAACAACCAAGCAAAAAAATACAAACAAATAAACAAACAAACCTAAAAATCTTGCTATTTCAACAGAAGACTAAGTTGTTTAAAGTAGAATAGAAATTGCTCTTATATTCCAATATCCATTTGTAAAAAAAAAATTATATGTTACAGCAAATATACCTGTATTTGAAATGTAGCAGGTCAATGCTGCAAACAAAATTCTGAAGAGTAGATAGTTTTGGCATTCAGATTCAGTCATGTTTCACTTCAGCTAAATAGATGTTTTTGCAGATTTTGTTCCAGTTTTCCAGCTGTTTTTAAATTTTCCATGATTTCCAGGATATTTATTTACAACTTGTTAGAAGCTTATGGAGAACTGTTGAAGTGAAGTATGGATATGAGAGAAGGAAAAGGACAGTAAAACACTCCAAAATCCCTTCAGCACCAACTCCCACAGCAACACTACACAGATGTAACACAGCTGCTGCCAAAGCTTCATCAAGGTTAAGTCTTTTTTTTGTTTCTTGACCTACTTCCAGCAACTTAATTTGAATATGCCTTATCCAAAATACAAAGATATTGCCACCCACAATTTTGTATGAAGCTCAGTAGAGCCAAAATAATTAAATATTAAACTCTCGCAGTAAACTGTTAATTTAACTTTTGGGTTGTGGTAAAGCCTTTGTTTCCTAAAACTTTAATGAAACAAACAAACAAACTACAGTAAGTTTTATATATATAATAATATATAAAAATATATTACATAATGTAATAAACATATAATGAAATAGTTTAAACTTTTGAGGTTTTAAATTTTTTCTTAATTTTTTTTGCTGTTCCAAACCATCTATATCTACCAAAATGTTCATTACACTCTTCATAATCAGTAGATTTTTTTAATGGATTTCACTAGCAGCTTTGCATATTCACTAAAAGAAGGGAAAACTTGGGGAATGCACTGTTTACAAGTCTTTGGAGAGAAAAGAATGGAAATATTTTCCTTTAGCTGAAACTCTGAAAGACCTGAGAAATCTTCATGAATCAGAATATCTTCTTGCTGTGGTTTCATTGTGGGTGTGAAGCAATTTAACTGTAACCGACTTAAAAAAAGAGCCACTTGTCATGAATTCTTGCTCATCTTCACTGTGATGGCTCAAGTGCTATTGAGGCTGGGACACTGCCAGTCAAATCAAACTTACAGCAGTAATATTTGAAGTAAGCTTGTACAAGCTTGTACAAAGTGTCTTAGCCTTCAAGTGTCTTAGCCCTCTAATAGTTTTATGACAGGCTGAACTTTGACTGCACTTTTCATCATGGATAGATGATTCCAACTCCCTTTCTAAAATTAAAAAAAAATTAAGAATTAAAATAAGCTGTTCCTTTTCCAGAAAATAGAAGTGCTGGCTCAGTCCAAGGTGATAAGGAAAATGGGATGTTTCTACGACTCTTAACTTCCCTATGTGCTTTTCAGAAAATCTAAAAACTGTTTTGTAGAAATCCCCTTTAAAGTTACAAGACGTAGAGGAATATAATTTTTTCATTACAAGATACAGATCTCAACATAACCCATTTCAGTGGCTGGCTGACTCAGGATTAAAACACAAAATAATAGAAACATTTGTTGGTAACAGGAATTCTCTTACAACTATGAATTATTAAGATCTGTGCTCATATCTGTTTTTAAAGAAGTGGTCTAAAATATTTTTCTTGAAAGGAAGAAAAGATTTAAAAATTAGAAAAAGGTGTTGATCTTTTTAAAAGTTCTGAAATGGTCAAAAATCTCACTTTTCTGATGGGATGATTAGGATGTGCTTTTTTATTTTTTTTTCTTTACACTTCATACTGATCTGCTCTTTCATGTTCTTAAAAAATATTGCACTAGTGCAATAATATTAAAAGCTAGTCCAACTGAAGACTGTTGTAATACTGAATCAGTTGATACTGAATCTTTAATGATCCCTGTAGTTATCACAATATTTTATAAAAACTTCCTCTCTTCTCTGGTACGTGATCAGCTCATAGAAAAGCATTCATTGTAAAACTTCATATATCCACATTGAACTCAGAAAGGTCTCATCTATAAAATATCCATATATGTTCCAGGGGAGAACAAGAATAATTTCTAACTTGTATGTTAAAGATAATTAAAGAAGAAATTTATATGTTAAAATTATTAGACAAAGATCTCTAAACATCAGAAATTTCATAAGTCTGAAAACTGACAGAAAGAAACCTGCGTGCAGCTAGTTTTAAAGCTGCTAGCTTGCGTTTGAGGCACCAGACTACCTAGCACAGCATATGGAGCTCAGTGAGCATAATTACTTAATAAAACATAATTCAATGGAAAGATAAGACAAAGTTAGAGAATTGGGTGAAAGTGGGGGTTTTCTGTTCAGTGAAACTTTCTGATAGGTCCATTTTTAACAATTGAAGGATAAGAAGGAACACAAATTCCCCTTAGAGTAGTTTTTCTTAACTGAATAAAATAAGTATGAAAAAAATATGTGAAGCAACATTTCTTCTATCACGTGAGAGGGGTGGGGACAGTATGTGAGAATGCTGACAGTTCTCAGAGAAAAATAAAAGACAGACATTTGGTGAACAAGACAAGGAATATAATTCTAAACCACATTCCATCGTATTGAAACGTCTCCTTATTTATTTAATGATCCTGAACACCAGTAAGAAAAAGAAGAGCTATTGATTTATTATTGCCAGCTATTGTTATAGGCAAACAGAAGCATATTAACACTTGGCAGTACAGTTAACAAAATCACCATGAGAGAAAAGAATTATTGTACTTTCCCTGTCTTAAAACCTGCTCACTGAACTCAGCTTTTTCAATCAGTTCAGTAGCTAGGGCAGCAGCTTGAGGATAATTTTTCAGCACCTTTTTAGTAGTTACATGACTTAATCCTTAGTTACATATCTCTTAATTATTAAGACCTCATTCAAACTTTTTTAAAGGCATTCTGTCTTTACAGAAAATGTCTGCTACAGAGTGAGCCAAGTAATTTTCTTTTTTGTTTAATCTCTAAATTTAATAGGGCAAAATGAAATGTAGAAACTGTATGTGATCTTTTGTAAGTGCTCCTAGAGCACCAGAATTTTCCATAGTATTGCCGCAGTTCACCATTCAACCAAAAAACCCCAACAAAGGCTTAGAGAAAATGGCCAAGGGTGACAGAGTCATTATGGGAAAAACAGAGGGAGTGACTGACTCTCACTCCCTGAAAGTTTGGCTCTTTGCTAAGAGCTGCTAACTACCAAGCTATCAATTCAAGAAAGGGAGATCAAATTATGCATGGCTGTTCCTGTTGTAAAGCTGGTTTTGATTAGTAGCCCTTAGGGGTTCCAGCCAGTGGCTAGAGAAGAGGATGAAAAAATATTGCTAAGTAAATGACTGAAATTTATGGCAGAAAAAAATCACCACTCTGGAAAATGATTTACGATAAAGCTCAATCTGAGAACATATCCATAAAAATGTATCTAGTTACCTAATCCTAAAAATCCTGGCAACAGTGGCTGATCATTTGTGCAGAAAAATTTTACACAAAACTTTGAGGCAGAATGACTACCTGGTTACATGAACGGCTGGGATTTAAAATTTATTTCAACAGGCTATCAAGGTCATTTCAACAGGAATGGATACCCAGTGGCAAAAGTTCTGGCTAAACAAATTGTATATTCATGCCATTTTTTTGTCAAACAACGGTACATCACATCACAAACATTCTACCAACATCAGGGAAGGTAAATTAATCTGTGAAACTTCTCATGTGTGTTATATTGATCCTTTAGAACAAACACCTGGATGGTGGAAACATATCCTTACAGGAGCAGAAATAGTGGTGTAGGGAATGTGTTCCCTGCCTAAGCTACCACTGGCATCACAACTGCTACTGCTTTAAGCTAATGGTTTGCTACTTTTCCCTTATCCGGAGAAATACAATCTTATAATGGACAACATTTTAAGAATAAAGTAGGACAAGCTTGGTGTGTTTCAAATGCTGTATAACAGATTTTCTGTCTATTGTATCCAGCTCAAAATAACACGACAGTAGATGGATGAAATGAACTACTAAACCAGCAGCTACACAAGAATGAATCTACTAATACTGTATGTGGAGATCCTATCTGTGAGAACATTTAAGTTGGTTACATAAGTGACAAACCCCCACAAGAAGAACCATGGATAAGTGATTTATATCAGTAGCTGCTCAAATTCTTGTTCAAACAGAAGTAAAACTCTCTTGAAGTCTATAAAATAATATTGCAGTTAAACATCCACCTCAAGGGTTATGAAGCCTCTTCTTTTACAATGAAAAAGGGAACAAGTTAACTACAACTGAGGTTTGGATTATGTCCAAGACCTGACTGTCCTTACCACATCACCATGACAACACTGTTAATTGGAATATATAGCCAAAAATTGTCTCTAACAGATCCTGCCTTTTAACATTGTCCATGGCACAACTCAGGTATCGCAAATCAGTCATAACTCAACTTTGAAACCAGTTACAGAATAAACATCATCTTTAATAACACAAGGTCAAGTATTGACAGTAGGTGATAATCTTACATGAATCCTAAATTCTAAAATTAACCTGAATTTAACTATATGTAGTAACACTGGACTTGAAGCTGCACGTGGCTGTGACAACAATAGAGTGAAATGGGCACTACTGGCATGTAAGGCAAGTAATCATGTACTAGTGGACAACAAAAAATATAGTAACTGTACACAATGAGAAAGCAATACATGTCAGTTTTTTCATAAACACTCTTAATAATCACTGTTCAAGTCAATGTAAATGGACAAAATTAGGCTACCGTCTGTTCCTGATTGCATATCTTAAAAAACAATGCAGACAACTTGATAACAAAAGTTCCTTTCACTTAATGCAATTGCATGATGGACAAGAGCCTATGATTATGGTTCCAAAATTAGTGACAATGATCATACCAATGTATACACTCCTGCATGGAAGAAAACTAGTACTTACCATAGTGACCATCTCTGTGGTGGTGGCTACAAAGTCATTGACCCATAGGGCATAGAAGTAAAAAGAAATTGTTCAAACTCTGTTGGTTGTAATTGGTACACGAATTGAATTAATTTGTTACTGAAACCCTAGCAAATAAATTGTCGGTATTAAGAGAAACTGAGGTTAATCAGAATGACTTTGAAAATGCTTAAAGGAAAGAAAAGTAAAAAAATCGTAATAACGATCACACAGCTCATGGTGAAGTCTGACATATGCTGAGAGCAGTGTCACCAGGTCAATGTGAGAGCAGCATGTACATAGAATACAGTGGATGGAGAGAGATAAGGGCTATCACCTGCAGCCATCATCTCCTGTATCTTCAAAAAGTTACTACCTGACAGTTTCTTCAG